GTCATTCTCATTGACCACCCAGCATCTCCTGGGTCTCTATCCTAACTTCACTCTAGATTTCATGTCATTTATGAAATCAGAGGGTTTCTGTTTTTTTTAGCGGTCTTTTAGATGCACTCCTGGGTTCTGAGTATACGAACTGATTTTCTTTCCCGAATGTTTCAGGATTTTGGTTTGGTTTTGTCTCTGGCCTCTCAGGCTCCTGATTTTCTCATATCCGATCCTAGCCCCCAAAACCAAACTCTAGCACTAGCCTAAATGTCTGCCGTTTTAGCCCACCTCTAGCCAGCCAAGGGGGGCTTTGTATGTTACATCGTTGCAGAACTCTGAATTCATAACTGATTTCCCATCAGAAAAGGCAATCCCAGTCGATCGAAGGTTTGACTCCTTCTCTGGCACTTTCACTGGGCAATTGCAAGGATTTAGAAGTACGGTCAGTATATGAGAGCTGCAGCGATGCCTCACTCCCCCACCCTCAGCTAGGCCAACTGGGAGACACTTTTCTGAGTGCTCATCTTTAAGATTAGATACACACAAGAGTAACTTAAAGAAGGAGGTGGGGGGGGGACATCAGGAGACTAGCCTGATTTATGCCAAGGCTGATATACAGAGTCCTGACGGGTAGACTTGGCAAGGTAGAGGGAGTGGGGTGAGGTTCCTAATATGTGATTGAGGAGCTTGGCTTTAAACTAAGGAGGAAATGTACAAATTTATGTTTTGGTCATAACAAACCATCCATTCGCTGGCTGCCTTCCCTCTCAAGAATTTTTAGAGATGGGAGAATTCTAAACCAAATATAGAATCCACTTGAGTTTCATGGACCTAATGTTAGAAGCAAAAAATTCACACTTTTAAGTGTCTGATTATATAGCTCTGAAAAAGACCGCTTTCTGGTTCAAGAGGTTAGCGCTTTGGATTGAACTCTCATGGGCCCTGGTCAACCAATAATTCTGTCACACCTTAAACAAGTGTTCAGTGACTCGAAGATAAATCAGAACTGCCTGCGTTACAGCCTTCTCCTGCCCTCTCCCATAACCTTCAAATCGGAAAAAGAAGAAAATTATAGCCAGGAGGTATTTCCATTTGCCAAACTCCAAACATTAGCAAGACAGAGTTGCTGAAGACATTTTGTGAAACACCAAATGCCATTTGTTCTCCCAGTCTCTGGAGAAGGGATTACTTAAAACCACTCCAGGCATGGAACAATAAAGTTGTCTCCAACGATTTGATTGCGACCCTGTCTCGGGTGGCATTTGCATCTAGGAGACTAGAGGTGGGGGGGCACCCGATAAAGGGAGACAGACATACCAATCCTCCAATTTCTGTCTCTGCCTGAGCATGCAGACCTGTGTGGGTTCAGAGTTCTGAAAGATGAAGACAAGGCTATCTTTGTACAGACTACTGGCTAAATTATAAACACACGATCAACAAACTCAATCTACCATTTTGTAGCCGAAAGCCAAGGTGTCCGTCATTTCCAAGACTGGAGTGTCCCAGGCAGCATATCCTATAGTAAATCTTCCTATGTTTGACACAGGGGGAGGGTGACAAGCAGATTTAAAAAAAAATCATGATTACTATTTTCATTCAGGATGCTTTGGCTGATAAACTTAAGAACTGCTTCATTTCCAATCCCTCCCTTCTTTACGGCTTTAGTGATGAATACCAGAGATTTGGCTAATTTGAAATGAGAACACACATGTGTACTGTCTACTATGAATGGCAGAGTTCAAACTACTCTCTCCCAGTTGAGAATACTTAGCAACATACTGGATGAGACAATAAGAATAGAAAAACCTAGACGTATGTACAAACATCCAAATGAAAATTGTTTCTTGAAATTATCAAGAAGCAACTCATTAATTTTCTTTACTTCCTACAGAGAAAGTTCACAAACCAAGCTGGAAATACAGTTCCGTCACATAGTTATTCTTTGTTTTTTGACCCCAAAGCAACATTACTCAGCTTGACTGTTTTCAAAAATAATGCAGACAGGATGAATATAACAGCATTGGTAATAATCCACACAGTGTGCTGAAAGCACGGAAGACAGTCCCCAGAGAAAAACTCCGTAACTGTGTTGAACAACAGCACCGTGATTCGAATGGGCCCAACCCTTCCAAAGGTGAATGCTTCCAAGAGAGCAACACTGAGTTGACTACAGAGCTCTGGTACACTTGCTCACAACTCAGACACAGGACACTTCAGAGTCACACATCATAGAACTGTTGAGCTGGAAGGGACAATATGGTTCAATCTACAAGGTTGGGATAAAGCTTTGAATGGCTAACTGCTGTCTGCCTGGACTGAAGCGGCCTTTAGCTTGAAATGTGACCACCATTTCTACCACTTTTGAAGGGCCTTCTTGGAAAGATGAAAATTATCTTGCAGTCGTAAGTATCATACGCACTGGGAAAAGTAAAGAATTATCTAAGGCACTGGGAGAGGTTTGTTGATTTGGCCTTTAGCACCCATCGGTGTGCTTGGGTCCTAGAAGCTGGTATGGGGACTGAGAGGTGGGAAGTATGGTGCACAGTTGTTAATACAAACAGTAGAGCTGAAAACAAGACAAGGGATGCTGGAGGTGGCAGGAAGGCTCCCAAAGAAGGGCTGACGGGGGCACCAAGAGATGTATTTCCTTTTGTAAATAGTTTATTTTGGTTAGTTTCACAGTGCTCACCCTCAGCAAGGTCAAGGGTCACACAGATATTTGTTGATTCTTTTCTTTAAGGCCCTGAAGGTAATTTGAGATTTGACTGTCTCTATGTGTCCCTCTCCAAAAGAAACTTAATCTACTACATAGATTATGTAAATATGGATCAACATGATAAGAAAAATTCCTTTTGAGAATTTCATAATGATCGGCAAATGATCATCCAGTTCCCAACCAATCCTACTTGTGAGCTGTATTGCTTAGTGGTCGAAAGCACAACCTTCAGATTCAACCATCAGAATCCCAGATCAGTGTCTATTCTCTGTGTGACTTTGGAAAAATTACTGAACTTCTCTGTGCCTCAACTGCCTCACCTATAGGATGAGAATAGTGGTAATTCCTTTATATGTGTAAATTGAGATACCACACGTAAGGGAGACAGAAGTCATGCCAGTTTGAGAGTAAACAGTCAACAAATGGTAACTTATTAATATCTCATTATTTATTACTTCCACATTTATGGGCAGAAGTCTGGGCCCAGGAAAGGTAAATCACTACCCACTCACCACACTGCTGGACAGAAGTAAGGATCCTTCTCTTTTATTCCTCTAATACTGTTAAAATTTGAGACTTATTCCAATAGGTCTCCTACATAAAAGTAACGCTTGCTAAAAAAATATCCGGGTACCATATATGGCTCTTCCCATGATAATCACAATAACAGCCAACTTTATGCTAGATTCTGGCCTGAGAAATATATCATTTCATTCTCAAAAAAATCCTAGGATATATATTATCACCCTCATCTACAGGTGAGGAGACCGAGGCCTAGAGAGGCTCACTGATTTGTTTGCGGTCACACAGCTAATGAGCGTCAGGATTCAGCCACATCAACATAGCTACATGTAACATCAGAAAGCAGTTCCACAATCCTGTTTGTGTTTAAATGCTCCTGACTTATGTTAAAAACGGAACTTTGTAGAACACATACAATGACTCTACTCCAAGCCCATTCTTTATAATTTATGATTTAAAACAAACACACACACACACTTCTTAAGTGGATAAGAGCCGCCAGTTTTACCTGGTGCACAGCTCTTGAATCCTGGTGAGTCTAGCTTTCTCCTGGCATCCGTCTAGGGCAAAGGTTCGCTTGGCCACAGTGTATGGTGCTTATGTGCTCTTTTCTGGGCAGGAGCCATGAAAACTACTCTAGGGATGTGACTGCAATGAGGCTCTGTGCTGCCGCACTGTCCTGACGTATTGGTTTGACATGTAACATACCATCTTTGTGCTTGGACCCTAACACAGACCCGTCAGATTACATTCACAAAGCAATATTCAATCTCCCTCCCTCCCTCCTCCCCTCCTTTCCTTCCTTCCTTCCTTGCTTCCTTGCTTCCTTTCTTCACTTATTCCAGGAAGAATTTTTCTTTTCAAGTTCCCTGGGGATCAGTGCTTATTCACCAGTATGTGCTCTGGAGACAGAGAACTATCTCTTCCTACAATTACTGTTTCGGGCAGAATAAAACCTCTGCTTTCTGTTAACCACAGGATATAAGGTAACCACAGATTTTGTTTTTCTGTTTGTAGTTATGATGGTTTCACCCTTTAACACTTAATTCAGGCATTACTTTCTCCAGAAGCCTTCCCTCATTTCCCCTTGCTCGGTACACACCCAGCCTTGGTACGCCGTATCATTATCCTTTCCACTCAGCATCAGAGTGATAGTTTTGAAAGCCTGTCTCCCCCTCCAGACTGTACTCGCAGACAGAGAACACGTTTATTCAAGGTGGACAGGCAACCCTCCTGCACCAGCATGGAGTCACAGCAGGATCTATTATGATGGGTTGGGCACTCCGACATTTCGGTTGGTTGGTGTGGGTAGAGACTAGTCATTAAATACTCTTAATACCATGTCTGGCCTTATCTCAATGCTCAGCATAGTCACAACATCATGCACGCGGTAGGCACTCAAAACTTGCATGTCGACCTAATGCCTGGTTTGTTGACTGAATGAGTCAACACTGGGCCTGGGAGTATCAGAATATCGTCGACAACCCCACACGTCACTAGAGGCGTGGATTAGAAGGCCACATCTGTCATAAGCAAGAGCCTTTGCTCACTCTGGATCCTGAGGACAGTTATGCTCTACCGGGAAATACCAGCCCTAGCCTTCGGATGCCTCAGGGGAACCAGGCTTCCTGAGGTCTCCAGGGGAACCCGTCAGGACCACCGCTGTCTTTGTGGTCCTGATTCTGTCCCGACACAAACTAACAGTAACCACAGCATCACGACCAAGCTATGTGGTCTCCGGGTGCGGTGTGTGCAGGAGCCCGGCACTTACCTGGCGGTGTTGTTGGGAGACTTGATACCCCAGCCCTGCGAGGGGCTGATTCTGCATTTTCTGAAGCAGGATCTTTTGCTGAAGCGGCAAGGGGGACCTCAGCAAAGGCTGGCTCGGGAGAGGCTGGGCGGGCTGGGGCGGCGGCGGCGGCGGCGGCGGCTGAGCCGGGATGGAGCT